AATCTTGATATCAAAGGAGTTCAACTTCATTTGGAGGCCAATTTGATTTGGTGAATGCTCTGAACAAGTATTTGTGGAACTATACCAAAATGTTGATAGAATTTTATAATATGGTCCAATATACTTACAAATTCTTATGGATGCAACAATAGATACAATGAGAGATCCTAACTAAAAATTTCAGAATTAATATCTATCTATGTTTCTTTTGATTAAAAACAAGCATGATAATGGTTAAAGAGATATCAGCTATTTGCAATGTCTTATTCGCATAGAGGATTGCATAAATTTAGAGCTTATTGGGTCATACACATAAACATATTATTATATCTATCTATGTTTAACATGAGTTTATGTATCTTGGAAAATATGTGTCATTTAGGATTCTAAAAATACAAACCTAGCTATTAGCATAACACTAAATAAACATATAATATTTTTGTAATTATTTGTAGATGTAAATGTACTAACGAAATTGTTTGTTTAATTACATGTCATATCATTTGAAGAACAATTCGTATTATTTGGCGAGGCGAATCTGCAATTTTATAAGTGTTTTTGAAAAAAGCTTGAACGTATTAGTCATGAAAAGTTTGAATACTAAAAAAAGGGTGTGTTTTTTACACTGCCAGATGACATTAGAAAATCGATGTGGAAGAGGATTGCTAAGAAAATGTACAATTTTGAATTCTACATTGAAGAAAAAATGAAACTAGACTTGATCAAGAAAGAAGACTTATGAAATGGTTCAAAAGTATTTTAGAATATTATCACCAAGTTATCTATATCTGCTCTGTGTATTTGGGACTGCAAGACAAAATTTGTATAACGCATGTATGAATACCGAAGCAATTGGCATTAAATTCAAAAATGTGACTTTTCTACAAGGCTGCTCTTAAAATGAAAAAAATATGTGATTAAATGCAATGTCACCATGTAAGAGCTCTCGTCTATTTTAGTTATCTGTTTATTTTTCATTTTCAAGCATAAGTTAAATTGCACCATACCAAAAATCCAGACCAAACATTTTGCTGGATCGCGGTTTGACGGGT